AGTAGCTCAAGCGACCAAATGTTAGCTCGAGCGCAATTTTGATCTATCCAGTATTTTTGCAGATAATATAGTCCGCTCGAGCGACTAAGTGGTGGCTCGAGCGGTCAAACAATTTTCAGTATGACTTGAAAAATTATACTTTGCTCATATTTCGATCTCGTCTCTTTCCAAGCAGTCTACACATGATTTCTACCTCAATGAAGATCAATAAGCTAACGATCAATATAAATTAGTTGGTTAAAGAATAAGTCATTGATTTAGTAGTAATTAAGAAACCAAGTAAAAATCAGTCTATTTGGAAAAGAAAGATTTAATAATGAAAGAATATGTAAAATGGGAACTCGGTTTATTTAAAAAAGAAATAATGAGTGTAGTAGAACTTCAGATTATTTAAACAAAAAAGGACAAGAGAAATTAAGTTTGATCAAGAAAGTTGTGGTAGCCGAGTTTGAGATGTTGTATATAAATAGGAGTCGTGTATAAGTCGGCTCATAATGGTTTTACCCTCAGGATAAGATTGCCAAGAAGACGAGTGAAGTGGATCGACTGTGGCCGAATAAAACCTAGCTTGCGGGCCGAATAGGCCATAAATCCTACGAAATGACTGGGGGCCTAGTTGTGACAGCGAGGTGTCCATAATAAAAAAGTGGGCCCCAAGAGAGTAATATAAAAAGGAGGAGCATTAGCCAAAAAGTAGGTATGTGTGAAAAACAAAGATAACTTGAGATATAAGAAAAACTTGAGGGAATACTAACTTACCCGTTGAAGTGCTAATTCCGGCACCCCCGACCGGATTATTCATTTCTATTTCAGGTACAAACTCAAGGATTAAGAGAGTCTACTTGGGCCAAAGGGTATTTCCAAACCACTTCTCCACAAATGGCGCCGTCTGTGATCCTTCACTCGCTGTTGACGATGTTATGCCAAGAGATGATGTGTACACCATGAACCATGCTTGGTCTGGAGAATATCACCATGCGAAGAGCCCTGAACTTCGACCTAGTGGCTCAAACTTCACCTTCGACCTCGATGTGGGAAACCATGCAGACGATCATGGATTAATCAAAATGAAACGAACAACGTCTGGAAGATATGGCGGTTGATAATGAACGTTTACGTAAGGAGTTGGCCCTTGAATTAGCCAAATCTCAACAAACCGCACCACATTATAGCCAGGGTCGGTCGCCAGAAAAGAATGAGGATGATCGATGACGTCGGCATCGGAAACATGATAGTAGTAGTGCTTTCGATTAGTCACATCAGGAACCCAGGAAGAAGGGGCGAGTTGATGTATCCAATTCATCCGAGGGGAGTCCGTATGTACAGCATAGGCGAGGAAAAAGAGATGGCTCGGATGTAGAAGATAAACACGATCCTTTTGTACGACACATTGCAAGGGTTGCATTGCCAAAAAAGTTTAAAGCACCAACGTTTACCCTGTATGATGGTAAGTTGGACCCTACGGATCACATTCATCATTACAAACAAGTGATGACATTGCATACTGATGATGAAGCATTTATGTGCTGAAAGTTTCTAAGTAGCCTGGTGCCGTTGGCCGTCAGATGGTATGATAAACTGGAGCCGGCCTCGGTAAAAAGCTTTCATCAGCTCCAAAAATTCTTCAGGACAAGATTCATCACCAACGAGGTCCAACCGAAGCAAGCTGACTCTCTTTGGGCAATGCAAATTAAACCAGAAGAAACCCTCTGTGAATATTCGGCGCGTTACTGTGAATGTTTTAACTTGGTAGACGATACCTGCAATGACTCCATGGCCATTACTGCTTTTAAAATAGGATTACATCCTAATAGCCCTCTTAGAAGCTCATTGACCAGACGGCCTCCTAAAACAGTCTGGGCACTAATGAAGAAAGTTGAGGAGTATTGCAAGATAGAAGACGATGCCCTTCGCGTCAAGACCAGACAGAAAGTCGTGAAGATGGTACCATCCGGTCTGGTTTAACCGATAAGCGTTGTATTATTAGGGAGCCTTGAACCATGGCGCCGAGCAAAATACGACAATCGGTGGGCACTAGTCAAGCAAACAGTGTTTGCGCCATTCGAACCAATAATATCAAGTGGATAGCATGCGCCACAGACGTTTGGACAAGAAGTACATGAAGTTGGCAGAGTCGATCAGCGAGATCCTACCTAAAGTCCAGTATCTACCGTTCTTTAAATGGCTGTCCAACTTGATTGAACCCCCTGATACTACATGAAGGGATATGCGGTGTGAATATCATAAGGTTTATGGCCATGAGACTGACAGTTGTTATATACTGAAGGACCATTTAGAGGAGTTGGTGCAAGACGGCCGACTGGTATGGCATGTCAAAAAGGGCAATCCACCAAGCATGGTAGCTCTACGCTCGGATTCACCTCTATTTAGTGTGATTCACATAATATATAGTCTACCATCGCCAACTCAGATACATATGATCTAGTTGCAACCTAGCTCGTCTAAGCCATTCAAGCCAGCCAAACGGTCTCATGAGACCGGCAAAATCAACTTCGACGACATCGATCTTGAAGTGGTAATGCTCCCCCACGAGGATGCCCTTGTCATCGAGTTACACGGAAACAGATTTGTCGTAGAATGCATTCTAATCGATCAGGGGAGAACCTCGGAGATAATGTATCACAAGACATTCATTAAAATCAACTTCACCAATTTGGACTTACTACCGGCCGAGTATGCCTTGTTCGGCTTCAATGCCAACCCCAAGTATCCTTTGGGCAAGATCATACCGCTAGTGCGTGCAGGTACGAAATCAGTAGACGTGGAGTTTCTGGTTGTCAAACTTCCATCACCATACAATCTCATCATAGGAAGAACCTGGTTGCACGCGAAGTAGGCGGTGCCGAGTACCTACCATTAGTTACTCCGTTTTCCAACACAACATGGCATTGAGCAAATTCAAGTTTCTCAAAAATCGGCAAAGGCATGCTATCTTATTACTTCAGCAAAGAAGCCGAAGGAACTAGAAGTGAACTTGATTGAAGTTCCAGATCGAGAAAGCCTCGAGGATGTTGGAAAAACCTCCAATGATAAGGCAACTGAAGACCTCGATCGGATCGGCATCAAAGGGGAACCTGACAAATTCTTCATGATTGGCACCTCCCTGAAAGCAGCTGAACAACATGAGTTGGTTTCCTTCTTACTCGGCAACATCAACGTATTTGCCTGGATGCCGTATGAGGTGCCGGGGGTGGATTTGAGCATAGCCCAACAACGTTTAAACGTTCACCCAAAGGTTAAACCAATTATTCATAGAAGTCGACGGTCAGCCGTGGAGCATACTTCAATCGTTGTTGACAAAGTCGATTGGCTGTTGGAAGCCGGGGAAATGCGTGAAGTAACTTATCTCACCTGGCTGTCCAATACCGTGGTTGTCAAGAAGAAAAATGAATCCTGGCGTGTTTGTGTAGATTTCATGGACTTGAACAAGGCCTGCCCCCAAGGATTGTTTTCATCCTCCTTGAATTGACCAACTTGTGAGCGCAATTGCGCACCACCAACGCATGAGTTTCTTGGATGCTTACCAGGGTTACCACCAAATTGCCATCCATCTGGAGGACCAGGAAAATACCATATTCTTTACCCCACGGGGAACTTATTGCTACAAGGTCGTGCAGTTCGGACTGAAGAATGCGGGGGTAACGTACCAAATGCTGGTCACCACTATGTTTAAAGAATAGCTCGGCCGCACTATGGCAGTATACATTGATGATATGGTGGTGAGATCAAAGGAAAAGCATGCTCATCTAGCTGACTTATCTGTGACCTTCGGCATCCTCCGAAAGTACAAAATGAAACTCAATGCCTCGAAGTGGTCATTCGGCATCGGATCTGGCAAGTTTCTCGGCTATATTGTGAACCATTGTGGAATAGAGGCCAACTCAAGGCAAATCACGGCCATTATAGAACTCGGCTCCCCTTAGTTGATCAAAGAAGTTCAGAAGTTAATGGGAATGACCGCTGCTTTCAATAGGTTTATCAGCTGTTCCTCAGATCACTGCCGACCATTTTTTCATACTTTAGCAGGGCAAATCATTTCAGTGGACCCCCGAGTGCCAGGCCACGCTAGACGTCTTGAAAACTTATCTCCGTTCGGTGCCACTCTTGGCAACCCCATCGCCCGGCAATCCGCTCATCTTATATCTAGCGATATCCGATCGGGTGGTCAGCACTGTGTTACTAAAGGAGGAACTCGAGGAGCAGCGACCAATCTACTATCTAAAAAAAGTGATGGTTGATGTTGAAACATGATACCTACCGCTGGAAAAGCTCACCCTAGCTCATGTGGTGGCTGCCAGAAAGCTGTTGCACTACTTTCAGGCTCATACCATAGGGGTACTAACGGACTATCCTTTCTAAGTAGCGCTCCGTAGCGCGGAAGCATCAGGGTGAGTCTTTAAGTGGGCCTTGGAACTCGGCCAGTATGACATCCATTTTTTGCCCCGAATGGCCATCAAGGGACAGGTGTTGGCCGACGTTATAGCCGAGTTCACAGGGTGTACGCTGACTTCGAGTCAGACCAACTCTCCCCTCAACCTCAACTAGACTGGAGAATGTATGTCGGAGACATTTGGCGGATGTATTGTGATGGATCATCTAACCAATGTGGCAGCAGGGCAGGCGTAGCAATCATGACCCCCGAAGAGGCAATAATCAAGCAGGTAGTGAAACTGGGTTTCGATGCATCAAATAACGAGGTCGAATCTAAAGCATTGTTAACCAGTCTCCGTAACGCGCTTCACCTAGGTGCCAAGCAGTTACAGGTTTTTTGTGATTCAAAAGTAGTCATCAATCAGGTGAAAGAGGAATATGCGGCTAAGAACGACCGAATGACAGCCTATATGAAAACGGTGAATTTCTTGCTCACGAAGTTCGACCACCACGAGCTGAATCAGATAACCCGCAATTAGAACACACATGCGGATGCCCTTGTTTGCCTGGCTTTTGCCATCAACTTAGAAATCAAACGAACCATTGAAATGGGATTCATCCCAGAGCCGAGTATCAGTTCCCCCAAACCTATCCAGGTCAACATCATTGACTTAGAACTGAGTTATATGGATCCCATTGCTGTATTTCTTTCCTCAGAACAGTTACCAAAAGATAAGAAAGAAGCTCATAAGCTACGGAATAAAACCCTACGATATTACATGGACTCCCAGGTCTAGGGAAAGCTTTACAAAAAGTCTCTCTCAAGGCCATATTTGGAATGAGTTCACCCAGACAGAGTTGAGGACTTCTTGGCTGAAATACATGAAAGTAATTGTGGTGCTCACTCTGGAGGACGCTCATTGGCCCACCGAGCCGTAACGCAGGGATATTATTGGCCGACAATGTGTACTGATGTCGAGAACTACGTAAAGAGGTGTGAACAATACCAAAAGTTCTCCCCATTAACTCACATGTTTGCTGAAGAATTAAATTCTGTTGTTAGTCCTTGGTTGTTTGCTCAATGGGGCCTTGACATCGTCGGACCACTACCACGAGCTCTGGGAAACAAACGATTTTTTATTGTTGTAACAGACTATTTCACAAAATAGGTAGAAGCAAAATCGCTAGCACACATCTGAGATGTTGATGTTAAATGGTTTGTGTGGAAAAGTATTATAACCCGATTCCGCATACCTAGAGCATTTGTATTCGATAATGGCACCCAATTTGACTGCGGCGTCTATCGGGAACTATGTAACACATATGGTATCTGGCCTTACTTTTTCTCATTGGCGTACCCATAAAGCGATGGTCAGGCCGAGTCTTCAAATAAAGTAATCTTGGACATAATCAAGAAACAATTGGAGAAGGCCAAGGGCAAGTGGGTTGAAGAGCTACCCAGTGTATTGTGGGCTCAACTCATTATTCTGAGGTGCACCACTAAAGAAATGTCGTTCGCCTTGTGCTTTGGGACAGAAGCTATCATCCCTCTGGAAATCGGCCTACCCACTTTGAAATCAAAGGCTTTTGATACAGGTCGTAATGACATGATGTTGGCCTCGGATCTGAATCTACTTGAGAAACGCCGAGATTGGGCTCTTGCACGCATGGCACGATATCAGCAACAGCTCACTAAGTCATATAATCAGCACGTGCAACTGCGTCATTATGCTCCCGGAGAATTGGTTCTTAAGAAAGTGCTTCGTGTTGCGAAAAACCCAGCAAACGAAAAGTTAGGCTCCAATTGGGACGACCTCTATCAAATTGATTCGATTGCTGGCACAGGGACATATTGCCTCTCGGACATAACTGGCCAAAGTCTACCACGACCTTGGAATTCGACCCATTTGCGTAAATTTTTTCATTAAAGCAACTTGTATAATATGCCAGTTCATTTTTATTTTTGCTGTTGTGCAAACGTGTATACATCTATGTAGTTACTCAGCAATACAGTACGTCTTTCTCATTGCTATCTCTTTTAAAATGGTCAAATAAGACTCTGAATTCAGAGTGCCCTTCGTGCTTGGCACGTTTGGCCGAATAAGCCTCCGAATTCGGAGCGCCTTTCGTACATAATCACATTTGACCATCACACAGACTTCGAATTCAGAGCGCCCTTCGTGCTTAGCACGTTTGGCTGAAAAAGCCTCCGAATTCGGAGCGCCTTTCGTGCATGATCATGTTTGGTCATCACAAAGACTCCGAATTCATAACGCTCTTAGTGTTTGGCATGTTTGGCAGAGTAAGTCTCTGAATTCGAAGCGTCTTTCGTGCATGATCACGTTTGGCCATCATAAAGACTTCGAATTCGGAGCACGTTTGGCCAAATAAGCCACTGAATTCGAAGCGCCTTTTGTAGATGATCACATTTGGCTATCACAAAGAATCCGAATTCGGAGTGCCCTTCATGCTTGGCACGTTTGGCTGAATAATAATCCGAATTCAGAGCGCCCGCTGCAAGGGTTTAAAAGCAACGTTGCCAAAATTGGTAAAATTTTGTAATCAGGTTACCAAGATTAATAAACAAACAGTTGTAAAGATACATCAATGAGCTAAAGAGCAATAGAGTGGCATGGGGCCGCGAATATGTAATTATGACAAAGCTAACACAAGCATCAAACAAACAAGCACAGTGAATATTTATTTTGACAAATACGTGCAAATACATGGTTATTGATAAACTAAAAAGTATAATAACATGTTTTTCTTGTTATTTAAGCCTTCTTCAGATTGACATCTTCTTCTTCTTCATCATTGGTCTTTTCGGCATCGTAAGCCTCGAAGGGAAACTTATAATTTTGGTACAACGGAGACGCCGAGTCGATACCCGCGGCTTGCAAAGCCTTAATCCATCCGTGCTTAAAAGCGCGATTCTCGCATCGACAAACGTCATCTGCCAACTTTTCCGTGGTCTCCTCGATGCCAATTTTTCGACCATCAAAAAAGCCTTTTTCATAAGCTCGTGTTCTTATTGCTTCTTTTGCAAACATGCTTGGCGTGTCCCGATCGACTATAGCATGATCAAGCAGGCGCTGGTTTACCCTATCTATCGCGACCGAGTTCGTCGGGAGCGTCGATTGCGTCTCGACAGCCTTGGCCCTTCTCATTTCACTCTTGGCCCTTTCTATGCGGCGTTCCAAGTTCTGAATATGCCCGTCTTTTTGTTCAATTTCTCTCTGCACGGCGCGAACGTGCATGCAAATCTCATATGAGCTATAGAGTCCCTTGACCGCTCCATAGATGCCCTCTTTGAAAATTTCGTAGTTACCCCGTCTAATCATTGATTGTTGCACTTCGGGTGGAAAAATTTGCCGAGTAAACTCTACTGCCATGTTTAGATCACGGATAATTGAATCTGTTTCGGTCAATGGTTTGTTCCCAACAAACACCGAAAAACTTAGTAGACGAGGTGGCTTGGTCGGTTTGCTTCGCAATGAGGCATGTGCACTTCCAGTCCTTGAGTTCCCTTGCTGTTGTGCCCCCATCCTTGGTGATTTTTCTACCTCACCCCCTTTTGGGGACTTGTTTCGACGACGGGAAAGTTGACGCCTCATTTGTTCCTCCACCACCATATTACCCGTCTGGGTGGATTCTCTACCAGTTTCACAGTTCATTTTTATGACTAGCTCAGCTAGTGTTTTTCGATCGCCTTTACTGTTGAAGAATACTATCTTAGACATACGAACTTGCTCAGGTCGGCACAGTGCTCTTTTTCTTTTCACACTCATCTAGGTCTGAGTAGTGTCTATTTAAACGAGGCCACAAGGCCCATGCGTGCTTGGCTACCCTGCTTCTTAATTGCGAGTGCAATGATTACGAAGCGCTTGTGGTCGCCGCTATCTTCCTCCGTATTCGGCGGTTCGACTTAGTGGTCAATTGGGGCAAAGACAGATTTATTAATCTATTCGGCTCTGAAATAGTTCTGCCGAATTTAGACAAATGCCCCATCCATGAACTTGCTTTGTGATTGTATTCGGCGTTTCGGCTCAGTGGTCAACTGGGGCAATAGCAGATTTACTAATCTATTCAACGTTGAAATAGTTCTACCGAAGTTAGACAAATGCCCCACCTGACCCCATGAACTTGCTTTGTGATTGTATTCGGTGGTTTGGCTTAGTGGTCAACTGCGGCAAAGGCAAATTTATATCTACGTGGTCTGGCCCAGCCCGGTTCGTTCCACTATCAAATTTATATCTACGTGGCATCCTGTGAATCGCAGGGCGTTGGCAAACACAATACACCCCACCACAAAGAATCAAACCGCACTTTTTGCCTTATTTTCAGAAGAAAAGTGCATCATACGCTTCTTTCTCTGTCTCCCCTCTCTCTAGCATAATATGATTCCCTCCAAAATCCAAAAATCGAAAAAACCCATTGAAAACAAATAACTCCTTCTCATTGACTCCATGTTGGATGACGTGTACGTTGCAAATATGCGCTCCATTGTAGTCAACTCGATGCTCAAAGAAATGTACTCAGTTCCATTAATAGGAATTAGAAAATCTTCAACTTGTGCCAAAGGTAAAGCTAATGCAATCTGATCTTGTAACTTTGAGATTTGTTCACTTCTCAAACCGAGTTCAAGAGACCTAGAAAGCAATGAGAAATAGAAACCGACATGGATTACTTTACTAGCCTTCTCACCCATTGGTAGCAAATCAAGAATACCCTCCAAGAGGAGAACTGAAGCTCTGTTTTTACCATCATCATCATCTCCATTTCTCTCACCCGAGTTCTCCCAAAACTATCGTGTTTTCTTTGAAAGTACCCATTTGTTCGCGTAGAAGACAATAATCGGATTCATGTACTTCTCTTTCATTCTTTGTCTTCTCAAAGACCCAATTACCCTTTTGAAGAAGTCAAATGGAAAAACAATTAGATCCTTGATCCACAAATCCTGGCTCAGTATGTCCTTAACTGTTTCACAGCTCCAGGCTTGACCGGTCATAGCCTCAAGCGTAACCATCGACACAGTGCTCTTTTTCTTTTCACACTCATCTAGGTCTGAGCAGTGTTTATTTAAACGAGGCCATAGGCCCCACGGGTGCCTGGCTACCCCACTTCTTAATTGCAGGTGTAATGATTACGAAGTGCCTATGGTTGCCGCTGTCTTCCTCCGTATTCGGCGGTTCGACTTAGTGGTCAATCGGGGCAAGGGAAGATTTATTAATCTATTCGGCTATAAAATATTTTTACCGAATTTAGACAAATGCCCCACCTATGAACTTGCTTTGTGATTGTATTCGGCGGTTCGACTCAGTGATCAACTGGGGCAAGAGCAAATTTACTAATCTATTGAACTTTGAAATAGTTCTGCCGAATTTAGACAAATGCCTCACCTGACCCCATGAACTTGCTTTGTGATTGTATTCGACAGTTCGGCTCAGTGGTCAACTGGGGCAAAGACAAATTTATTAATTTATTCGGCTTTCAAATAGTTCTACCGAATTTAGACAAGTGCCCCACTTGAAAATGTTCTTTGTATATTTATTAATCTATTTGGTTTTGAAATGTTTTTGCCAAATTAAGACAGGTTCACCATTTCATATGGTTCATATTCTTAACAATTTTGCCGAATTAAGACAAGTGCCCCACTTGACAATGTTTTTGTTTTCATATTCTTATTCTTGTTTTCATTTCCACTAACCACGCAAGGCATATTCATCCACACATTTATAAGTAAAATGGACATTTTCATTAATAAACTACACGCGTACATTCACACTTTATACATGAAAATGAGCTTGATACACAAACTAACTATTTTAATATAAAGGTAACAAAATAACACACTAACAAAAACAAAGGAAAATATATCTATTACAAAGGCGACCGATCAAAAGTCCAAATCCTCTGGATCCAATTCCAGTGGTTTGACTTCTAACTGCTCGTAGGAAATCGGCTGATCTAGAGTCACTTTGATGGTCGCTAAAGCTTTGAGCCATCCATGCTTGAAACCTCGATTCTCGAACTTCAAAGCTTCATCAGCGTACAATTCCTTGGCCTTCAGCTCTCCGGCGTCAAAAGCTTTCGTGGCCTCTGCTTCAGCAAGCTCCCTTGCCTTTTTCTCCGTTTCAAGATCAGCCTTCAGTTTTAAGACTTCTTCTTGAGCCGACTTGAGGGAGCCATCTATCAGGTTCACTTTTTTTTTAGCAGCCCTACGTAGTAGGTCGGTGTGTTGTGTTTTTTCCTACCCAGCAATGGCCCTCACCTGCTCTTTTTTCACCTTCGCGGCTTCAGATTCGGCTTTAGCCATCACCACATCCAAATCGGCGATTACAGCTTTGGCTTTGCCTTTTTCAGCTTCTAATTGGCCTTTAAGGATGTCGAGTCGTTCCACGGCGTCATAGTGACGATGGGCAATCTTGGTAATCCTTCCCGCAGCCTGACAAAGCAATGAAGCCAAGACTTATTAGTAGGAGTCAAAAAAAAATTTTAGACGGAATCAAAATGATCGAAACTTACCAATATGGCTGACTGCACCGCCAAGTCAATTGAGACAACATCTAGTTCGGCGCAGAAAGTGGCCTTGTTTGCTGGCAGAGAGAAAGCCGAAGCCACACTTAGGGCCACAGCGGGATCTCTGATGGCCGACCCACTAGTGAGAATCGGCGTATTCTTCATCCATGGTTGGACAACAAATGGCTCGGATAAATCATCAGTGGTGGACGGTATCTCTATCCTTGGTTTTTTGTCAATCGGGGCCTCTGATAGATCGGATACGACATCGGTAGGTTTTACTGCCCTATTAGATCGGTTTCCATGACTTCTTCTTAGCGTTCCTCAAGAACAAATTCGGCCATTATCGTTTTACGGGTCGTTTCTTCTGGGGAAACCTCGCATGTTAGAGTTAATTAGCTCCGCCCAG